TTGAATTTCATAGTAAACATTTCTTTATACTATTTCATTTCTTGGTCCTAGCAATAATTAATGATTTCATTTTATGGATCAGGAAATGAGGGTCAGAAAAGTAATATACTCACATTCACAGAGCAAATAGGTAGCAAAATCAGAAATAGAACTTGAACATTTTGAATTCTATGTCCAGGAGAGTCTAACCTAGTCAAGACACTTAACGTGAAGGGCAGAGTACAATTGATTTTCAGTAACACCTAACAACTTATACTTTTTTACCTAAAATTTCTTTTTACTTTGGTTGAGAGTGTACACATCTTTTTATTGATTTATTTGTTCAACAAGCACTCATTAAGCGCTGGCCATGTACCCAGTTCATGAGTCAGAATAAAGGTTACATAAAAGTTTCAGCCAGGGAATAAGTCTATACATTTAGTCAATGTGAATCACAAATATCTAAGAAGCATCTTTCCTCATTTAAATAATAATACTATGAGTTTTCTGTCACTGTTTTGACTATCAGTGGATCAATGATCTGTATTGTAAATTTAATCTAAATCTCAATTATTGGAAAGTGGTATGTTTAATTTTGAAAAAACTTTGAGAGTGCAAATTAATTTCAATATTCATTGAAACAAAACATAATTACTATGGCTATTTTGCTAAACAAAAATTAAAATGATTAATTATCATAAGTATTTACCAATATTTTAAGATGAAAAAGATGAGGTCTAGCACTGTTCATGTTTACACAGAAAGTTGGTGATAAAACCAGAACTTGAACTAAGATCTTTTCATTAAACTAGATTAACATTTAGTTGATTTTATTTTGATAGAACAAGAGAATGAAAACAGCACTAGAACACAGAAAAACTCTAATATAAAATATGGCCTCCACCCTCATGAAAATAATACTTGGACTCCCTTCATTCAGAGAGATGCCATTTTTAAGGCTGTACAAATCAAACATACTTCAATTCTACAAAATCAAGACCACAGCCATTTTCTTAAAATTAAAGGCACATATTTTCTTTTTCTTGAAGAGCTTGAGAGGTTTTCATTTTTTTAAGGCTGAGAACTTATCTTTTGTTTATTTATTACTATTATTTTTCAGGGACTGCTTTCTTTCTTCTTTTTTTTAAACAACGGTTTAAAAACAACTTTTTCAGATAATGACAGTGAGCATTTGTAGCAAGGATGTTATGTGCCATGGAATGTGGGTTTTTTTTTTTCTTTTTGACACTTAATAATTATACATGTTTGTAGAATAAAGTATGACAGTTTGATATACGTATACAATGTATAATGATTGATTCAGGACTATCATTTCCTTCCCTTTATAAAGTTATCATTTCTTTGGGCCAGGAAGGTTTGAACCTATATTTATGGACCTTGCAATATGAGGCTGAATTATGTTCCTCCCTGTTGGAAAATGATAGGAAGCAAGGGAAATGAACATGAAAAAGCTATGTGGCCATTTATTAGAGGTGGCAGATTCTGGTTCTGCATTAAATGGGTCCTTCAGATCATCTTCAACTTTTAGATTTCATGACTAAGTCTTCAACAATAACAGTTTAGAATAAAAATTACACTTAACAAAATGTTCTTCATAATGCACAATTTTTTGAGGGGATACTATGTTGTGTATGTTGTAAATATTTGTGTTAAGATTGAAGGCTGCTAGTTATGAACAGAGTATATATGAACATGTGTGGTATGTGTACAGGAAAGTCCTACAGGTTGTTACAGTAATTGTCTCAGATGTGTCTTCTGGAATGTCCATGATATGGAAGTGTACTGGAGCTACAGTTATTTATACTGGCTAAAAGCTACCAGACTTTAGGTTTACACATTACAGCTTAATCACCTGACTTATTATAGTAGTCTACTGAGTATATTGTTATTCTAAGTGTGGCAGTTGCCCTTGTCTCACTGGATCATTAGCTTTTGGAAAACAAAGGAAATGATTTACATTTCTAGCAAAATTTAGGTTATAATTAGGAGGCTTCAAAAAAGTTCATGAAGTGTGCATTGTGATAAAAAAAACTGCAGGTATTTCAAAAACAAACTTATCTTCTAATTTCATCTTTCGGAACTTTTTGAAATACCCTACCCTCATATCAGTTAGGAAATGAGCTATGCATCTCTTTTTTTGTATATTCTTTCTCTTTTAAAGACTTCTCTCTCTCTCTCTCTCTCTCTCTCTCTCTCTTTAAAAAGGAGAGTGAGGGAACATAACACAAAAGGAAGGATTACTGTTGCTCCCATGAAAATTAAGTTGGACACTTTGGAAATTCTTGATAAAGGTAAATCAGTTTAAAATCTGCAAATTAATTAAGGGTAAGGCAACTATAAAAGACTGAAAAAATCAGGAAATTTTAGAAAATCGTCATTCAGACTGTCTTCAGATTCAACTTTTAAAATTTTTATGTATTTATTTGAAAAGCAGGTAAACAGAGATGGGGGAGGGGACAGAAAGAGAGAGCATCCATCCACTGCTTTACTCCTCAAATGCTCAAACAGCTGGAACTGTACTAGGGTTGAATCTGGGAGCTGGGAACACAATCCAAGTCTCTTACATTGATGACAGGAACCTGACCACTTGAGTCATCAATCGCTCCCACCCCTACTCTGTATTAGCAGGAAGCCAGAAAGAGAAATCAAACCTAAGTACACCAATGTGGAACATGGTTGTCTCAATAATTAGGCTAAACATTCACCCTCTTGTAGGATATATCTTATGATTGTGATTCATTTAAGAATGGAGAATGGGCTTTATGAAACTGCAATTAGGACCCAACCATTGTATATAAACATTTGTTGTTGTACAGGTTTTATAAGTCTGTTTTTATCAAAATTTCTACTAACCAAATAATCATAACTCAAGATTTCAATAAGGAAGAAAAGGTTCTCTCTGTAAGTAGAGGCTTATTACGCTATATTTTTATTCATGGTATGCTTTGTAAACACAGGAGATATAGCTGATTCATTTCCAATGTTACCTTTAGTGCTTAGTATAGTGCCCAGTATATTGCAGCCTGTTCCAAAGTATGTCATTAATAAAAAGAGCACAAAAGGGAAACATTTCTTTCTGTATCCTCTTTTCCAAAAAAACTATCATGATCAATGAATTTATATCATTATGGGATGATATTAAAAATAAAAATAAATTCATTATATGGAACTTAATGTTTTAATAGTATTTACTAAAACAAAAGTTAATAGTATTACTAAAACAAGGTTTACCAATATATAAGAATATTCTCACTTTTACCATATCATTTGTTACAGCCTTAATGTGCTTTTCATATCATAATCTTTGTTAAAATAACTTAAACTGTTCCTATTACATATACCCATATAATTTCTACCTTAATGCCAACAGTGCTATCTCCCCAAGTTTATAGATTAAGAAACAGAGAGAAAAATTAACTTGATTTCTTAAAGGCAGATTCCCAGTTATGACTCAAATTCATGTGCTTCTAAATTGTACTATTCCAAATTAGTACTAACTCTGTCACTAATTAGGCTGCAGCCTTAAGCAAACTATTGCTTCTCCCTAAGTCTCAGTTTCTTCAGTTATCAGGTGAGATTTTTATTTTTTGATTATTTTCTAGGATATTCTCTAGTCCCAAACACTCATTCCCAGCACCAGAAAATTTTAGCTTTTCTTATGACTAAAAACTGTGACTTCTCACTGCTTTTCTTTTCACAGTATGAGAGACAGAAAACAATATGCAGAGTTATTTAAAAAATGACAGAAAGGATATGGTGGAGACATTTTAATGAGTCAGAGAGGGAAGAAAAAAAGGGACACAAGACAGGATGAATTTAATGTTAGCATGCTTGTATGAACTCTTTTTGAGAAAACAAAACATCATGGAATATTTTGTGTTCTTTTAACTCACAAGAGTTCTATTCTCACTTGCTTAAAGGAAATCTCAGTGGTAACTTGGGAGATCTCTGAAGTATGCAGCCTAAAAATTAAAGACTTAGTCAATTCTTACATTTTATCATCCTGATCATGTAGAATATAGCATTATTTAATTACATCATAAACAGTTACAACTGATGTCTATCCTTAATGATCTAAACTATGGATAACATGTAGAAGCAGCCAATAGCAGATTCTTTTCATAAGCTATACAGATATACCTTATTTTTATTTCTATAACTACTTAAATAACCTAATAGGAATCACTAAAAAGAATTTTAACACATTTGGTAAATAAAAATGATATAGGATTTCAAATGGTACAACAAGATGCAGAATTTACCATTGGAATTACATTAAATAACTGCAGGAGTTATATTTTACCTTGAAAAACTTTCATCATGAAATGCAGCTGTGAAACAACTCTGGCTTCAAACAGACAGGCTATAATAAAACGCCTCCTAGCTAGACTTAGGTTCAAGAGGTTTATGGTGGCAAACAGCAGAAAAGATGAAATGTTTCAATAAGCCCCTCAGGCTGATTTAGTTAGCATTCACAAAGTGGAATAACCTATACATCACATACCCTTTGTTAGCTGCTTGTTTAGAATAGATGTATGAGTCACTGGATTGTATTTTTGCAGTTGGCAATGCAAGTCTCCTTTTGCCCAAAATATTAAAATGCGGGAAGGTGAAACTAAAAAAAGTAATGTCAAATCTTATACAGGATGCTTATCAAGCACTGTGATAGATGATGAAATTCTTTTGGTCTCATCAGTGTTTTACCTTGGTAGGCACAAATGGTAAATTATCTCACATTAAAAAATCTATTATATTAATCAGTAAACTAAAGTATATGTCTGAAAATTGTGTTTATGTTGGGAAGAGGTGTTGGAGAGAGGAAGCACAAAAGACTCAAAGAAAGCTAACATTAGAGAAGGAAAGACAAGATTCTATCTTGCATGATTTCAAGTACAAATGAATCCCTCTGGGAATCTGTAGGATTAACGTGTGTGTGTCTGTGTGTATATCTTTTTTTCTTTTTTCTTCTTTCAGACACTGTTTAGAATTAATGAGAGTACCTGCAACGATGCTGGCAAGCTGCTGGGTTCTGGTGATGGGGTAGATGCTACGTGCCTGAACGATTGCTGAAGCGATTTTCTTGGCGTGCTTTTCCTCCCCGTATGTCCTGAGGATGGATGCAAGTGCCTGTTGATCTAAAGCATTCACAACATCAGCAGCGGTGGGCATGTCAGGGTACCTACGCACAAGAAGAGCCAATTAGTTCATTGACGTCAGATTTCATTGACAAGAGGTGAAACTGCAGAGTACTGAGAACTAAAAGTCAGGCAACACACTCATAATCTAGGAGAGCTTCTGAGATTTTAAAGTCAGATACTGAAGTCCTACAGGAATGAAACAGATTTTCCATTTCAAACACCCGTAATTATGCCATGTGGGGAATATTTGTAACATTCATCAAGGTCGAAGAGGCAGAAAGTTAAAGTATTTACCACTATTGCTCCTATAGATTTTCTCCCAACTAAAATATTGGAAAACATTTGAATTTAAGTTGTTGAAAATTTAAATTAGTTTTAATTTTTCTCGGCACAGAGTATATAACACTTGCTGATGACATTTGAATGAGCTTAAGATCTCATGAACTGAACTAAATCTGAGGCAAGTAATCAACTATCTGTGGAGACACAAACTGAACTCTGTCTATATAAAAAGGTACCACTGATCAATTTCCCTCACAAAAACCTAAACAACATTACTGGCAATAATGCATATGCCAAACATCACTATGGGGTAAAACCTGATAATCAACAATGAGTATTAAATAAGTTTGTACAGTAATTTCAGTTGCAGGGGTAAAAGACATACAAACCTTTAGCCAGATAGAAAAATTATAGTTACAGGGAATAGCATTAATCTTATTTCAGGAAAATGGGCCCAAGAAGTCTAACTGATGAGTTAATATTGACCTTACATGTTAGAAAGACAGCTTTGCTGATGGTACAGTTACTACTCATATACTTAATACATTCTACGACTGCAGGTACCACATTGGTGGACTTTTAAGTAACAACCATGTAGTAGCTTTAAAACCTGAGAATCCAATCAGAGAATAGCTGCCCAGAAAAACCTGAATATCTCCTTGAAAATACAAAACTACACCATGTTAACATGCCTAGTGACTCCAGGAGAAAATCTTGTTACTGTCATTGGTTTTTCTTTGTTTTGCTATGTACTTCATCTCTCTTATCAACATTGCTTTCCAGAGGCTATGATTATATTTTTGTCTGGCTATTGTGGCACTTTTATTAAAATGAGCATCTTTACATAGTAACTGTATTTGCCTGTCAATGGGCTTTGCTTGTTCAGTTTTCAGGCTGAAGATCGGATCTTTAGAGTCAGTTCAACCTAGATAACAATTCTGGCTGCCTTATCCATTAGGTAAGATTTTCAATTACGGAGCCTCAATTTTTTAATCTGTGCAATGAAAGCAACATTTTAACCTCACAGAATTGTTGGGAGAAGTAGAGGTACATCCATTTATTAAATGGATACTATATTGCCTGGCACACGGAAGATGTTCAGTGTAGGTCAATGTCCTTTAGATCTTTTCCAGTCATATATTTGCCAGTCATCATTCTTGGTTTAAATGACAAAATCCCTATTAGATCTTACCTAGTTGTGAATTCAACTCCCTAAACCACTGAGCACTAGAATGAACCTTCTTTTCCTTTTTTTTTTTTTTTACAGATTTATTTATTATTTGAAAGGCAGAGTTACAGAGAGGCATGGGCAGAGAGAGAGGTCTTCCATCCACCGTTTCACTCCCCCAATAGCCGCAATGGCTGCAGCTAGGCTGAAGCCAAGAGCCCGGAGCTTCTTCTGGGTCTCCCACGTGGGTGCAGGGGCTCAAGCACTTGGGCCATCCTCCACTGCCTTCCCAGGCCACAGCAGACAGCTGGACTGGAAGAGGAGCAACCAGGACAGAATCCAGCGCCCCAACCAGGACAAGAACCCAGGGTGCCGGCGCCACAGGCAGACAATTAGCCAAGTGAGCTACAGCGCTGGCCCCTTTCTACTTTTAAATAAGAAAATCAAAACAAGTGGAGGTTGGTAGAAGACAGGCATAATTTTATTTTATTTTATTTTTACACTAACATTGAATAATTGTGTAGACGTTTCCATAGTGCTACAAGGTAAAAGATTCCACACTGAGGCAGGCTAAGGGGTGGCTTTGGAATAGGCATACATGTGTTGAAGAAGTCCAGGTCCAAGACCTGTCCCACAAATTAACAGATTCTGGGATGTGATCTTGCCAATTCTCCAGATTTCACTGGCTTAAATTAATTGAACAAATGATACAAAGAAAATATTAACAGGAATACAAATCTATTACTTTCTCATTAAGAATATAATGACCAACAGAACTAGATTACTGAGTCCCTGAATCTATGAATTTCTTTCAGCTACATGACAGTCCTTATTGTAAATGGAAAGCTATTGTTAAAATTGAAAAGTGTGAGGCTGGCATCATGGTATATTGGATAAAGCCACAGCCTGTAATGCCAGCATCCCACATGGGTGCCTTTTCGTGTCCTGGCTGCTCCACTTTCTATCTAGCTCTTTGCTAATGGTCTGGGAAAAGCGGCAGAAGATATCCCAAAGTGCATGGGCTCATGCTACCCATGTGGGAGACTTGGAAGAAGCTCCTGGCTCCTGACTTCAGCCTGGCCAGGACTGGCCATTCTGGCCATCTCAGTAGTGAAACAGCAGATGGAGATACTTTCTCTCTCTCTCTCTCTCTCTCTCTCTCTCTCTCTCCCCCTCCCTACCCTCCCTCCCTCTCCCTCTTCCCCTCCCTCTCCCTCTCCCTGTAACTCTTTCAAATAAATATATCTTTAAAAATAGAAATTTAAAACAGCAAAGGATAAATTTAAGACTCGTGTATTAAACAGCAACAGACCAAAGAAAGCTTTTTTTTTCTTTTATTTAATGAATATAAATTTCCAAAGTACAGCTTATGGATTACAATGGCTTCCCCCCCATAACTTCCCTCCCACCCACAACCCTCCCTTCTTCCGCTCCCTCTCCCCTTCCATTCTCATCAAGATTCATTTTCAATTCTCTTTATATTCAGAAGATCAATTTAGTATATATTAAGTAAAGATTTCAACAGTTTGCACCCACACAGAAACACAAAGTGTAAAATACTGTTTGAGTACTAGTTATAGCATTAAATCACAATGTACAGCACATTAACGACAGAGATCCTACATGAGGAATAAGTGCACAGTGACTCCTGTTGTTGACTTAACAAATTGACACTCTTGTTTATGGCATCAGTAATCACCCTAGGCTCTTGTCATGAGTTGCCAAGGCTATGGAAGCCTTTTGAGTTCACCGACTCTGAGCATATTTAGGCAAGGTTGTAGTCAGAATGGAAGTTCTCTCCTCCCTTCAGAGAAAGGTATCTCCTTCAAAGAAAGCTTTTTGAATTCATCATCTTCACAGAATATATATCCCTCACAGCATATATCCATCACAGGATAGGATAGGCCATATTTTTTTGGCCTGGACTCCCTCTCATATTTGCATCTCTCGCTTTTTTTCTATGAAAGTATGTGAATCAATTTCCCCCTTCTTAATGCAATATACTTGCTTTTGATCTGTTAATATCATTCAGTAGGTTACAGTCTATGCTATCCATGGAACTCATTCTGTAAAGATTTATTTGCTTAACTCTGTAGCTATTAGGTATTAAATTACAGTGTAACTCTTGGGGGGCAATCTTATTGTCAAGGTCTTGGAGGAGAATTTCAGGGACACTGATTCACAGACTTAAATTTGCTGGTAAGTCTCTAACTTTGTTAACTGTATTTCAAAAAGCATCTTATTTAACAAGACAAAGGAAGAACAGAAATTTTCTTGACATTTTATTACCTATGCACAACTATCTCAATCACCAAACATGAGAATATATTTGCCTTTTACTTTTAGTCACTAGTTTTTAAATGATATATATTATATCTCTTTATGATCACATTCTTCATTCTATGAATGTCAATAATATGTGCAAAAGAAGGTATGAGTCTTAGTAACAACAAAATTCTACAAATATAACACAAAATGAAAGTTAATAGGTCACGCCACAACATGAGGAAAAGGCTATGTGTGAATAATTACCACAATATGAAGTCATCTCTGGTGGGACATGAAAGAGAAAAAAAGATTAAGCTTTTAGATATAGGTTGTTTGGTCTCTGTTCAATGTCACTACTGGGCACAGACATCGGTGAAAACCAAAGATCTTTTTTATACAAAAAGGAATTATTCCTATATTTTCCTAGAATGTGATCCTTTTTATACAATTTAACATATACGTACCTATTTGAATAATGGAGAACACACACTATTATTTCCAGTGTGGTGAGGAATGAAGAGTAGGTATCAAAGATATTCTATGCACAGTACTAGGTTTGATATAGAACCATAAATTTGCAATTTCTTTGGAGAGGCACAACCCAATTGATTGTACAAGAAATAGAACAACACACACAACTGCTAATCTCTAGGATATTGCCTTTTTTGCAGTATTTGCAAAGAATATGCTTTACATATAAATCCTTTTGTTCCCCATAAGAGACATAGTTGGGTGTGCATAAAAATGGAACCATTGTTTCATTATCATATTTAACAACATTGCTAGTAGTCCAAAAGCCCATATTGTATCTGTGGAAAAGATAATCATTGTGAAAGTAATATTCTTCACTATTTTCTGTAAAGACAGTAATTATTTTTCTTTTAGAATATCAAACCCAAAGAAATACTGAAGTCTATAATTAGTTGCAAACAAAACTATTTTTCTTTATGTATGGGTAGTATTATATGTGGGCATGTGATGAGAATTCTGTAGTCTTTAAAAGAGAAATTAAATTCAGAGTGTTTTTGAGGAATTGATTTCTTTTGTGAGGAGAAATGCTTTATCAATACTCACCTGCCACCATCCATCCTCATGTCTAATGGACCATCCTTCCGAATGGAAAAACCTCTTTCAGGAGCATCAAGTTGCATGGAGGAACAACCAAGATCCAGAAGAACTCCATCAAAAGTCCCTGGCTGTACTCCAGCTTTCGTTAATAAGGCTTCTGCTTGGCTGAATTGGCCTAACATGGCTCGGATTTGTTTACTGTGAATAAACCCAAGAAAGGAGAAAACACTTCTTATTCAAGTATTTGTTATAGTCTATTATCAATGGAAGAGTGTATAACCTATTATATGTTGATAACTGTTTGCCTGCCACATCCTTAGCATGATGTAAAGACATATGGATTTGGAAACTGTACACCTTTGGTTTCATCTGATTATTGTAATTGTATTCTTATTAATAAATGTAATTTATTGTATATCTTTGTGCAGATATACAACATGTTAATTACAGAAAACTTCCTTTTTTATATCATGCCTTTATTTAAAAAGTGTATAGGAAGAGAAAAAAATTACATGCTATTATATCAAAAGGATAACTTTAATGAGTAGGTTAATTTAAACATAATAAGCAATAGAACAGAAAACACAGGAAAAAAGACATATCAAATACATTCAGACCCATTATTTAGCTTTCTCCATGTTTTTCCTTAATTTAGGATAAGGGTCCTGTGCATCTACAAATTTGAGGAATAAGACTATGATTAAATGAAATACTTTCCTGCAGAAGCAGTATTTTAGATTTCAGCAGAGATTCAGAAATGGACAGAGCCTCTGAATCAACAGACAGGTAGGGAGTTCAGATCACCTTGCAGCTATACTAATTCTCCTTCCTACAATAAGTAAGGTGCTGCCTTCAGGGTTCTTCAAAAGCCTTAGGGCAACTGGCATGCATTTTGGAAGTGGAATGAGAAGCGAAAAATTGGGCAACACTCAAAATTTCATTCCCTCTACCTAATGTAGGGTAGAGTGAGTTTGGATTTCAATAGCATTGAAGAATTCACACTTACGATATTTACTTCTGTGTTATAGCCTATTCAAAGGGGAATTTCACAGCTCACTGTTATTTGTTTTTCAAATTCTGGTGAAAAAATATTTTAATATTTACTCATCAACAAGGTGTTGAATATCTGTTATGTGTGATTATTTTGGAGGGTATATAAAGATTAATAAAGCACAGCTTTCTGAGCTTTCAGTTAAGAGGAAGAGATGTATAAATAAATAGTTTACAAAACATCATGATAGGACCTCATAAAAGAGAGAAGAAAAAATTGCCATGTCCATATTTGGAAAACATGAGCACTAATACTAGCATTGATGAAATGGAAAAAATGGATAAAAAAATCTTGAGATTGGATGATATCTTATGAGTATTTTTTTCTGATAACTGATATTTCAATCTTTTCTCAATCCAACATCACTGCTGGGGACTGTCATTTTCTATCAACACATGGTGTTGGGGGGCAGTTAGGGAGGAATTCCTGTTCTAAAGCTATCAAGAAGGCTGAACACATGACATTCTATACCAGATAATATAACAGAAGTTTATCAATTTCATATATTCATAGCACAGGGTAAGAGGACACCACATGCCATGCAGGGTCATATGGGGATTGTATCCAGGAGCCAACTGAACACAAGGGGCTTGAGAAGCAAGTCTGATAGTATGAAGAGGTGTTTCCTGGTTCCCAGGAGAGGATGTGCTTGGCTTATTTGGATAAATCCACAGGCTGGCAGAGAACTGAAACTGCTAATCAGGGATATATACAAATTATACCTTACCCCTTTGACAAAGAAAGTTGTTTGTCCATGGAACTTTATCTACCAGAAAGTAGTGGGGAGGAGAATTTATGGTTACGTCAACTGAGAAAAAAATTATTTTTATGTATCACATATAATAATATATAAGAAATCAAATTTTTGTGTACTCATATTCATTCTCTGGAGAATCCTAACGAATAGCAGAATTACACAGAGAGGAAGAGAAGCAGAGAGAGAGAGAGAGCGAGAGAGAGAGAGGTCTTCCATCTGCTGGTTCACTCTCCAGTTGGCAGCAACGGCTGCAGCTGCACCCATCCAAAGCCAGGAGACAGGAGCTTCTTCCAGGTCTCCCATGTGGGAGAAGGGGCCCAAGGACTTGAACTAATACCTACTGCTTTCCCAGGCCATAGCAGAGAGCTGGATCAGAAATGGAGCAGCCTGGACTCAAACTGGCACCCATCTGGGATGCAGGCACCGCAGGTGTCAGCTTTACCCACTATGCCACAGTGCCAGCCCCTCTTAGGTGACACTTTTGTGCTGTATTTCCGCCTCCATTTCAACATGCATTTGTTATTGAGAACAGCTCACTTTTTGATACGGTGATGTTTATCATCTAGAAATTTTGGCAGATGTACTTATACACAGGATATTTTGATTATTGTATTGATTATGATCATTTTGGAATACCATCAAAGGATACCCTTATCAAAGAGTATTTTCATATACTGCAGAGATGGAATGAAGATACTGTTCTGTTCTGCATAATTTGCTCTAAAAGCATTACCTTTTCTGATCATTTCCTTTCTTTTATGAAAATATTTTCTCTATCTCTGCCTCTGTCTCTCTGTAACTTTGCCTTTCAGAGGCAGAGTCATGGGGTGGGGGTTGGGGAGAGAGGTCTTCCATCTGCTGGTTCACTCCCCAAATGGTTGCAATGGTCAGAGATGGGCCGATCTGAAGCCAGGAGCCAGAAGCTTCTTCTGGGCCTACCAAGTTGATACAGGGGGCCAAGCACTTTCCCAGGCCATTAGCAGGGAGCTGTATGTGAAGTTTAGCAACCAAGTCTGGAACTGATCCTCATATGGAATGCTGGCACTGTAGGTGGAGACTTAACCTACCACACCACAGTAGTACTTTCTCACTTTCTTAAAGTAGATTTAATCATTTGATCATAGCTCACACACTGACTTGAATAAATAAACATTGACTTGAATAAATAAATTCATCATCTAGAAATGATGAATTATGATTGTATTTCTACCTCTTAGTGATCCTTTTAAAATTCATGGTGGGTGACTGGTACAGCAGTGAAGATGCTATTTGGTTATAACCTCATCCTATAGTGAAATGGGTGGGTTCAAACCTGGCCCTCCTGCCAATTCCAACTTCCTGATAATGCACATCCTGGGAGGAAGTGATGGCAGCTGAAGTACACGAGTCCCTGACACCTACACAGGAGACCTGGATTGAATTCTGGGCTCCTGATCTTGACTTGGCCTGGCCTTGGCTGTTGCAGGCCTGTAAGGGAATGAACTAGCAAATGCAAGTTGTCCTGTCAGTCTCTTTTTCTCTGCCTTTCAAATAATTAAAATACACATTTTGAAAGCATTTACTCAGTGGAGTAATCTCTTGTTCTGAATTAAAAATTTAGCAGGCCCCATAACTTTTCCACTCACTCATATGTAATATAGTCGTATAGCCTCTATGAGTTGCGAACACAGTCAGAAGTAAGACTGTCCAGTACTCACTCAGGTATGAAAACAAGTAATAAGTTAATATTTAATGAGCATTTATTAAATTTCAGGTACATTTATAAATAAAATAAAGCATGACTGCAGAGTTACACCCCAGAAAATAATCAAGATAAATACATGAAGAAACATCGATTTCTGTCTGCAGCAGTTTAGATTAATCATATCAATTCTTCTACTGTGGAGGGGAGGTCCAACTAGCTAATTACACCTACCTATTTAAAAAATGGAGAGCTTTAAAAGGAGTTAGGATTTGAAGGGAGGAAAGCAAAGTACAAACAGTTAAGCTGGACATTGGAACAGTGCTATTACTTAAAGCCTCTGTTAATTTATAAGTGGAAGCTGAGTATGAAGGAAATGAGCAGAACTTTTGGCAGTTTCCTAGGATATGGGAGACAAACATTAGAGTTCAGAATTCATCAAGAGGGATATGATCAAGTAATAGCCCCACAATTTCAGTTGGGACCATAAAGGGTTAAAACTTCAATGAAACTACTAGAATGGTAGACCAAAAATAGAACACATATACTGAAATTTAATTTCCAATCAGCTTAAGCTTTACTGCATAAGGGTAAGAACAACATTAGATGAACTCTGCCAGAAACAACAAGAAATGGCACTTGGAGGCAGACACCTCTCAAATAAGTTGCATGACTTTTCAAAAACAGTGTGAATTAAAATACAAAATTGCTGGTTAGCCATGGAGATAAGATGACCTACCAAACTCAAGGAATATATAATAGAAGCAGACATACAGGAAAGCGAATATAGTTATCGTCATGAACTTAAATGACTAACATGCTCAAGAACACAAAGGACAAATCAGATAAGCCAGAAAAATTTCTACAAAAAATAGTAAATGAAAATCAGATCAAATGGAAAAGAAAAAAATTACAATAATTGAGCCTAAGATTTCAGTAGCTGGGTTTATAGATGCTTAGAAATAGCCTAAGAAGCCGGCGCCGCGGCTCAATAGGCTAATCCTCCACCTGCGGAGCTGGCACACGGGGTTCTAGTCCTGGTCGGGGTGCCGGATTCTGTCCCGGTTGCCCCTCTTCCAGGCCAGCTCTCTGCTGTGGCCTGGGAGTGCAGTGGAGGATGGCCCAAGTGCTTGGGCCCTGCACGCCAAGGGAGACCAGGAGAAGCACCTGGCTCCTGCCTTTGGATCAGCGTGGTGCACCAGCCGCAGTGCACCGGCTGTGGCGGCCATTGGAGGGTGAACCAGTGGCAAAGGAAGACCTTTCTCTCTGTCTCTCTCTCTCACTGTCCACTCTGCCTGTCAAAAAAAAAAAAAAAAAAAATAGAAAAGAAAAGAAAAGAAATAGCCTAAGAAAAGATTAGGAACATGGAAAATAGTTCAACAGGAAATATTCAGAATGAATATAATTTGGAAAATATGGAAAAGAGTACATGATACATTAGATAATGGTGACAAGATCCAGCATATGTGTATTCCAGAAGAAAAGAGGGAGGAAAGGGTAAAGATAATGTTTAAAGATACAATTGCTGGGGGCTGGTGCTGTGGCATAGTGGGTTAAGTAGCTGCCTGCAGAGCCAGCATCCCACGTGGGCTCTGGTTTGAGACCCAGATGCTCCACTTCTGATCCAGCTCTGTGCTGTGGCCTGGGAAAGCAGTAGAAGATGGCCCAAGTGCCTGGGCCCCTGCATCCACGTGGGAGACCCAGAGAAA